TCTTTGTTTCTGCATCTTTGCATCCAATTGCTAGCCATCTCCTGTTCTACCTCAAGTCTGGTATTGAAATTTTTCCTTTCTAGCTCCCATTTTTCTTTTTCAACATTGGATTCTTCCATCTTTTGGCTTCTGATTTCAAGTTCAGCAATCAACTGGTTCATCTCAGATTCAAATCCCTTGAACATGCTATTTTTCTCGCCTTCAAATTTAACAAAGATGTCATTCTTCATTTCTTCTAAATCTTTGGCTCGATCTCTTTCTCTTTGCATTTCATTCATGATCTCACGGTGTTCAGCCTTGTTTTATAATTCGCTCTCTCCTGTCAACCTCGAAATCTTCCATTTTTTGCTTTCCTTTTTCCAGGTTTTTGAGTAGACAACTATTCTTTCCTTTCAACTCTTCAACTCGTCTTTTTTCAATATTCAATTCTCTGGTCATCTGTACCGTCGATTGACTGGGTCCTGATGCTTTTCGGGATTTATATAACTCCTGGTAATCTTTCTGTAAGGCTCTGTACTCATCCTCACCTTTTTCTTTATCTTTTCTCAACATTGCACATTGTGACGAATGAAAGTCAATGTCAACCCCCAACATAGCTTTATCTTGTCTCATTTGTTCTAATTCTTTCGTCCAGCCATCATCTCTTTCTGCTTCAAACTCAGCTCTCAGGATTTCAATCTCTGATGGAACCACCTTGATGCGATCATCCATAGAAATATCCTCATTTTGATCTGGTAGAGGAATATTTTCATTTTTCCTGACAGATCTCCATTCTTCATAATCAGGAGTTAGCATTTCTTTTGCTGCTTTAGCTCGGATACAAAAAGTTGTTTTCCAAGCTGTAACGGCTTCCATGATGTTTCTTTTATAATTTTTGCTGTGGAATGCAAACTCAGATGACTGTAGTCCAGCAGTGACAGGTATAAATTGACGACCTTCATATTGTCTTATAACCAGAAGTGGAGCATATCCAATTCCTCCCCATAATCCGAGCAACATTATCCAGTTGTAATCACCACATCTGTAAATGAATTCCCTTTGTATTTGCCACGGGGCTCGCCAAACAACGTCATTGCTTTGCAAATTTCGAAAGGCATTAATCCACATATCTTTTTTTATTTCTTTCGGCCATTCCTGCTCCAGAAATTCCTTTAATGGTGAATAATCCGTATTAAAGCGTCGGTATGAAACCTTTTCTGTTCTCCAGAAATGACTACGGATCCAAACATATAACAACTGAGTACACCCTGAGAATCGTCCACCTCCTAACCTTCTGCAAGCATTTAATGATCTGAAGGTCTCTGCTAGGATTGCAGAAACAGGATTAATCTTCTTTGGTAATTGTTCAAACAAGTCTACCACTGCAGCTTCAATATATCCCAATACTTTTGGGAAGATAACCATACCATATATACCCAGAGCAAATAGATCGAATCGTACTTTAATATCTGGATGGCTCTGAATAAGTTCTCTAATGTTGGTCCAAGCAATGCCTTCGCTTTCGCCTTTTTGTTTTGTACGGGCCGCTACCCATTCTTCTCGTACCCCGGCAATCTTTGCTAATTTAACTCGGAAGGGTTGAGTTTTAATTGACTTTGAATAGATTCGATTCTCCAAAGCCCCTTCGATATGTAACAAAGTTGTGTATTCTTCAATAATAGGGACCAAGTCCTCCTATTGAAAGTGAAGCAATTGTACCCTGGATTCCAGAATTGAACTAGGGCTCGGAGTAATTCATCATCAACTTCTACATAGAGCAGATATGGGATATCTCCGTAAGTCTGATAAAACTGCAATTTTTTGTTTAAATCCCAACTTTCCCAAATACCTCGCAAATCTTGCAGATCATTTTTTAGTGAAACTGAAGCATAACTGGCCAAGTCAGATACATAATCATCTGGCAGACTATCTCCTTCTTGTCTTTGTAAATCTTCAGCCCATTGTCTTACTTCTGAGTTTAGAATTACTTGACTTGAACCCTTTTTATCCATGGATGAAGGTTTTCCAATGAGACTATTAACACAAGGATCAATGTCTTTTATCCTGTATGATGCAATGCAAACAGAAAAATAATGAACACAAAAAAAATAAGTTAGTTTAAAGGATAATAACAGTTATATTTAATTTAAACATGCTTTTCTAAATAATTTAAATAAACATGTAAAATAAATTAACAGGAAAGACATAATTCATTCTCCTGTGTGTACCTATTTTGGACAAAATTTCGGCATGACTTCTGATTGGAAGAGTTTCTAAGGTTTTTTATATGCAGGGTTTCAGAACTAGGAGTAAAGGTACCCGAATTGTCCTTGTTAGTGCCCCCTTGGGTTGCTAACCCTCAATCCTAGTCCATTACAGACTAAAGTGAATCGAGTTCAATTCGAGGGGATACATTTCTCTATGCCTGACACGGAGAATAAATTCTCACGAAGACATAGAGCATATGAACCCCGAAAGTTACTTGCTAGGTCTGACACGGAGAATAAATTCTCACGAAGACGTCGCTTTCACTTCCACTTAAAAGGGACAACTCAATTATAGAGCTTTATGTAATGCAATGCAAGTGTTGTGTGTGAGGAGAAATGTTCAAACCTTTGACATAAAAATAAATACTGAAATAAAATTCTTGCAAATAAAATACAACATATTATAAAAATAATAAATAAAAAAAAAAATTAAAAGAAAGAATTAAAAATTAAATATATGAATTTTTAATTTTTTATTAATAGAGACAAATTATAATCGATTTTTAAAAGTTTGACCAGGGTCCCCAGCAGAGTCGCCAAGCTGTCGTAACCGGTTTTCGTCCGGGCACGAAATATTAAATTTTGGTGGGGAAATTAATGTTAATAAATAATTTTGAAAATAATTTGTGAGTCGCCATCGACCTTTTGGATCAGGTAGGTCGAATACCTAAAAATATTTTTTTAAAAGAGTTTTAAGAAAACATCAATTAAAAAAATGAACTGATCTGCGTTTTATAACCAAAAATTTGTTCTTTTTAATAATAAAAAGGGGTTCGTGGTCGGTTACGTTTAGGGAAGGATTAGCACCCCTACAACGCCCAAAATTGGTACTTTTTAATTATAAATTGTCTCTAGTATTAAAAATTTAAAAATTCAAAAATATATTTAATTTATAATTCTATTATTTCAAAATTATATAAAAAATATTTTTTATTTAAAAATATCCGAAAAGAACTTCTAGGTACCTTAAGACAGCTCTTTTTCTTTGATATTGATAAATATTAATTTAAATAATATTGTTTAATTTTAAAATATCAGAATAGGACATCCAGTTGTATTAAGACTGTCCTTTTCTTTGATATTAAAAATAAATATTTTAAAAGTTAATATTTATTATATATATTTATGAATATAAAAAATATTTAACAATAATAAAAAAGAATAATTCTATTAAACAATATATTTAAAAACAATAAAATAAATTAAAACATATAAAATAAATGACTAATTGCAGTAAAATAAAATTAAAAATCTAATTCATAATTAATCAAAACTATAGGGATTAAATATGTTATTTTTTAATTATTTTTATTTATTTAGTGACTAAAATAAAATCATCTAAAATTCGGATATTAGATTCAAATAAATAAAAAATATAAGCTAGGGATTAAAATATTATTTATTAAAATTAAAGGATTAAATACGTATTTATCCTAAATATATTATTTAATAGAAAGGACTAAAATAAATAAATCCACAATTAAAGAACCAAATTATAAAGATCTAAAATTAGGTTCAGTGACTAAAATATAAAGTTTAAAATTCAGAGGACTGCGGAAAGGATTTAACCTTTCTATAATTACGCACAGGTCCTCCCTTAAACGACGCCGTTTAAGAGAGGGTATAAATACCCTAGGTTGGCTGGCCCTTCGGGCCAACATCTCATTTCTCCTTTCTTTCTTCTCTCTCTCAAACTGAGAGAGATTTCTCTCTCGCCTCTCTCTAGGTTTCCCTCACCGGAGGGAAACCGGCAGCCATAGGCCACCGTACTCCGCCGCCGGCCTCCGCCGCCGGCCACCGTAACGGTGGTCGGAATTCACCAAAAACACCCCCAAATTGTAGATCTAAATACCCTAAGACCGATTCCGGTCTTTGTTTTCTCTAAAAGACTCCTAATCGGAGTAAATCTAAACAAAACCGAAGGGTTCTACCTTCTTAAACGGCGGTTTGGCAACGTTTGGCTTCCGAGGGCCACAAAGGCTTCAAGGGTAAGTCTTCTTCTTCTCTTTTCCTTTGGTTTACTGCTGTGGTTGTAGACTGGGATCGTTGGTATAGCTTATTTTTTTCCTTTCTCTGTTTTTTTTTTGTTTCTGTCTCTCCTGCGGTCTCTGTTTCTGTCCTTTTTCTTTCGCAGGTGGGTGGTGGCTTTTATAGCCACCACCGGTGTTCGTCTCGGACCGGTCCGAAGAGCGGGGCCTCGGTGAGTCACCGGACTACCAGTGGTGACTCACCCCGTAGCCTTGCATGGACGGCTGACGTTGATCTTCTGGAAGCATCATTCGGGACGTGGCAGCGGCGGAGGCGGTGAGGGCTTCTGGAAGCAGCAGCGGCGGCGGTGGACGTGTCCCTAGGGTATAGATACCCTAGGGTTTCCTCTGGCAAATGATGGACCGTTGGATCAAACCAGATCCAACGGTTGAGATTGAAGATGGCGGCTGGCGGCTGGCTGGATTAGGGTTAGGGAACCCTAACTGGAAACCCAAATATTTAGGGTTTCCGGTTGGATTTGGACCGGTTTCAGTTGGTTTGTAACTGAGCCGGTTTAATTGTAACTGGTTTGTATTTAATATATTTAATAATAAAATAATAATAATAATATTAATAATAATAATAATAATAATAATAATAATAGTAATAATAATAATAATAATAATAATAATAATAATAATAATAATAATAATAAGAATAATAATAATAATAATATGGATAAAAATTTAGTATCTTCACTTACAGTAATGTGTCTGGCTTTTCTAGACAATGCATCAGGGAAGGACAAAAAGCTTGAAATCATAAAAAGTCTTAATGCCGAGAATCTGCTTGTGATTGACTACTTTGTAAGTATATTCCTTGCTACACAAGATACAGTGTGATTTTTGCTACATGCTTACAGTAGAGATTGTTTTCTACTTAGATTAGATGCATGTGCAGGGTCGATAATGCCCTGGGCGAGATAATAATTTTATGCACAAAACATAGGAAGGAATTATATGATATGACAAGTTTTGTTCTTTCTCTACAAAAACCAATCATTTTACTGTAAATTCAATTTGAACTCACGTTTAGAGTTAAAAACAAAAGCACTCCCCTCGTTTGTCCGACACAATAATACTTTTAAGCAGGCCTATCATTTTCTGTGGTTATCATAAAAAAAAATTGGAGAGCCATCAAGTAAACACTTTAATGGTAATTTTCTTTATGCAGTGTCACATCAATTAGTTTTTATGCTAAATATCTTTGCTGGTAAATATATTGCTTTAGGGAAAATAACAGATTCTGGTCACCAAATTTTGAAAACCTTTAACAAAGACCCCTATTAGAACAAGGGTAAAAGGTTTAGAAACTTTTTCATATGCAATTCTTGTAAAGACACATGTGCTTTAAACAGATTGTGGAAGTTGCTTGAAATTAAAGCTTATGTACCTGAAAGAGTTGAGACTGTCTTTAAAGCCTTTTGCTTGGCTTTGTCATCATGCAAATCCAACTTCAACACAACCTTCTGCAATAAAACATGAGATCTTTTTCAGAATCATCCATGCTTTTTTTATAATTAATTTGTAAGGAATCATAATCGAATTTAAGAACAACCCATCAACAATGACCCCCTTCAAAAACATAAAGCTACACACATACAAAAATCACAAGTATGTACAAAAGAATCAAAACCCAGAACAGGAAAACAAATAATTTAGTCATAAACAGAAAGAATATCCCAGAATAGAAACCAAACCTTCATTTGTGTTTAGAACCTTCTTTAGCTTTTTGAGGGAATTTCAGAGAACGAAAAACACAAAACAGAGATGATTTGAAAGAAAGTGTACAAAATAGAAAAAGGAAGAAGGATAAAAAGGGAAGGAAATGTGAAGAGAATAGAAGAGATTCAAGGGAAGAAGTAATGGGATTTTGAAAAAGAATGAAAATTTGGACAAATTACAAAGGGAGAAAACAAGAAATTCCAAACAAAAATTAAAGTAGTGCAGAGAAAAAAAGAGAGAGAGCACTAATAAGTCTAATATGAAGTGAAGTTAAAACAAGTGGGCACTAAAAAGATTGAAAATTTGGACAGATTACAATGGGGTAAACTCACAATATAATGCACGAAAAATAAATAATTCACAAAAGAACGTTCTCGCAAGATTATTTGCTGAAATAGAGCGAAATCAACAGTGTGGCCGTAGGTCGCCATGCCTTCCGGGCGACCTACGACGTGGCTTCCGACGAGGGTCGTGTGCATGGGAATGATAGTGTGCATGGGACATGCACAACCCAACCATAGGTCGCCATGCAATCCCAGCGACCTCCTAGGTCGCCATGCATGCCCGGCGACATTCCCTGCTGCATGCTCGCCTGCTCGCGACCTTGTCTTTGGCCCCCTACTCCACGCTGCATGGTCGCCTGCTCCCGTTGCTTGCTGCATTATTGCAGCATAATTTTCGCTGCTTCATGCAGCAATTATTGCTGCAATCCACGAGAATCAACGGCTCGTGATTCTTCAATTATTGGTGCATTGCGTGATTCTTCAATTATTGGTGCATGGCAGTCGACCCTTTAATATATAGGGGGTATGATATGGGGTTAAGGAAGCATAAGAACGAAAGGGAGAAGAGTGTCGAGAGAAAGGAAAGGAAGAAGAAGAAAGGGAGTCCGGCAAGCAAACATCGAGGTAAATTTTTATTTTATTTAATTTAAATTAGTTTATTATTTTAAATTAATAGTTTGTTAGTTTAGGGTTAGGGTTAGTTTAGGGTTAGGGTAAAAAATTTACTTAATTAGTTAGTTTGTTAGTTAGTAGTTAGTTATATATAAAAATATGTAATTAGTTTGTGTTAGTTAAATAGTTAAGTTGTCATATGATTTGTTGAATTTATTTTATATAAAAAATTTAGTTAATTAGTTTTTAAGTAGTGAATTATAATTAAAAAATATTTTATTAGTTTAAGTTATATTAAAGAATAGTTTATTAGTTGAAGTTATATTAAAGAATAGTTTATTAGTTGTTTAAAGAAAATTCACGTTTAAGTTATATTTTAAAAAGTTTAGTTTGTTACTTTATAAGTTTATTATATTATAAGTTATTATATTAAATTTTTTTGTTGGGTTGTAAATTAGTTAGTTAATTAGTTACTTAACAGTAGATTATATTAAATGATTTTTTAAATGCTGTTGTTTAATTTTTTTTACATATTCATTCCAATGGCTGACCAAATTCCACTACTAAGACTTGACAATGAACATATTTCAAGTCATTTGGGAATAATGGTGAAAAAAATATTTGTTTAATGAATTATAATTAATAAATATTTGAATATTATTTTATGGTGATTGTGATAAATGATTCAGTCATTTGGTATGGAGGTAAATGTGGCATATCTGGGAATTCAGGTGCCCTCATCGCATCATAGTCTATCTCGTACATGTGAGGAGTAGCTTCATACGGTGCCGGAACTTCATCAATTGCACCTCCACCAAAAATATTTTCGTCGTCGCCCAAAACGGGTTTTTCGGTTTCTTCATCTTCGCTTGAATCATCGTGAATTTCTCCCCATCGATTTTCAGCGTCAATATCAACAACCAATTTCGGTATGTTTCTCGTCTCATACTCTGCTGTTGCAGATGTCCCCCCGACTTCATTTACACTTTCCAATATTGCCATAAAACTGTTCGGGAACATGTATGTCGGCTCCTCAAACTGACTATATAAAGCCATTTCAGATGGATTTTGAGCCACACCTCTTGATGACCCAGGAACATCATATATATTACGCACATCAACAAATAATTCAATAACTGCTATATTGGTTGACTCATGTAATCCAACCATGGTTCCAATATCATCATCTTCAAGTGGAACTGCAGCATATCTGACTGGGTTGGGACATATCATAAACCTATACCTCAAACCATCAACTGCAGCTCGAATTTTTCTTTCTATCTTATGCTTCATTTCTATAAATGTGATGTCTTTTTTGAACATCATATTTATTGGTTTTTCAGACTGAAAAACTACTCCGACCTCATTTTCCATAATCTGTCCATTATAATGGACAATCGTGAAAAAGTTGTTGCTCATTTTCTCTATAAATAAAAAATAAATTAATTTAGATTAAAATATTAGATAAGATAATTTCATAAAACATTAAATATAATATAATATACTATTATATTAATGATCAAATAAAATTTGTTATTTAACTTGATTAATTGATTGATTACTAATATTATTAATAATGATTTAATAATTATTATTAATAATGATTTGATATTTAATGATTTAATAATAATATGATTTAGTCATGATTACAATAATTATTATTATAAATATTAATGATTTAGATTTGATTAATCATTAGTAATTATTACTAATAATCATGATTAGTTTGATAATATTTTTTATTTTTTAAAAATATCAAACAAATTTATTAGGCAAAATATCGTGATAATGCGTTGGCCGGATTATTTCATTCAATTAATTTTTACTCTTTACTAATTTACACATACAATATAAATAAAACAAATATTTTTTTAAAACAACACTAAATATTTTTAAACACAATATTTTTTTAAATAAAAATTATCTCGCAAAAGTTTATATAATCTAATATAAACTTACTATCTAACTAATTTACACATACACAACAACAAAAAATGGACAACAAAAATAATAAATTACTCACGTATTTATGCCTTCCTCCTTTCCTTTCTTTCCTTTTTGTTCTTTATTCGAATCAATTTCAACATGGGCAAATATTGTGGAATAATGCCCTGTATGTGTAAACCGTTAATTTATTTAAACAGCAATAGCTCCTACAAATTAATTTTATATAATCTAATATTTTATAATATACTTAAACTAATAAACTATTTCTATTATAATATAACTTAGTTAAAATAACACACTAATTAAGCACTAATTAATTTTTTATAATATAACTTCAACTTCAATGAACAATCTAATATATGTTTAAAGACACTAACAAATTAATTAATATTTTTTTATATTTAATAACTTAAACTAATAAACTAATTAACTAATTTTTTTATATAATATAATATAACTTAAACTAACAAAACTAATAATTTATACTAACAAACTAATTAACTAGATTTTAGTTTTACCCTAAACCCTAAACTAACAAACTAATAATTTCATATAATAAATCTTCTTCCTTTTCTTTCTCTCGGCAAAGTTTATATGTGCTTATGCTTATGTCCTGGTTTCTGCTTCTGCTTCTACCCTAAACCCATATCATTTATATAAAGCAAAAACGTTGTACGAGTCATTAAAATTTGACTATTGAATAAAATAATATTAGGATTGAATCGTATAACTATTGAGCATGAAAGTCTTCAATTGAACAACAATATTTGCTGTATTTAACAGCTAAATTAACGCTGCAATCATAAAGCTATGGATGCAACGATGCAGCTACGGATGCAGGAATCTCCAGCTAGCTATGGATGCAACGCATGCATGAGTGATAGGGTTAAAGCTTGGTCGTGATGCAGGAATCTCCCAGCTATGGATGCATGATGATGCAGACCTACCATGTCGACCTACCATGTCGCCGGGACTCCATGGTGACCTACCATTCTACCATGTCGCCGGGACTCCATGGCGACCTACCATGTCGCCGGCCATGGCAACCTACGATAGAACCGATCCTTGGTCGCCCCGAGTGCCCCATGCATGAACCGATCCTTGGTCATCCTTGGTGCATGGCCCATGCAAAGGTTTGCCGAGATCAGACCACGTGAACAAAGCGCAGCGCGACCTATCCCATGCCTCGTGTATGGCCCATGCATAGCACCAAAGCAGCATCAGCGGGCAACAGCGGGCAAAGAACCAAAGCAGACAAAGAATGTTGGACGCCGGGCGTGCATGGCGACCTTATAGGACGCCGGGCGTGCATGGCGACCTATAAGGACGATGGGCGTGCATGGCGACCTATAAGGACGCCGGGCGTGCATGGCGACCTATGCTGTCACTGTAGAATTAACCCCATTCGAGCAATTAATCTGGCCAGTGCATCATCTCGTAAAATATTTTTTTAATGCATTATGTCGTGAGTTTTGCCGATTACAATGGGAGAAAATAAATGGATGCTGCCCCTCAAACATACTGTCTTGGGTTAAGGTGGCACATGTATTGGGCCGGTTCTGTGCATGTGACATTCATCAACTGTTTATTTTCTGCAGCCACTCCTCACTATCGATGTCTGGGAGGTAATCCGTGCTTTAAATAATCCCAAAAGTCTTCAAGTGTTAGTCTTATTAACCAATACTAATTCCATCTCTGGGATATTCTCTGTGGCAACAGCATGCTTATTTCCTTGATTTCCAGGTAAAGATTCATGACTCGTGATTTTGCTTGGCATTGTGTAATAAAAGAGGTTATATTTTTGTTTATAATGGAGTGTTGTTGCATCTGAAAACATTGTAAATTCTTCTGTTAGAATCGGCGACCGGATTACATATCAACGTTCATGGAGAAACTTGTATCTTGGGAAGCAGTTAGTGTTAGACTTGAGAAAGCAAAGGTTCAAGCTGCGAAGTGAGAAAAGATGAAGAGGAGAAACATAACGATCCAGAGGCTAAATGAATTTAGATTAATATAAAATGGTTTAAGAACATGCTCTAATTATATTTATATCTCTATTGGATCTTCAATTTTTCATGTAGTTTTGCGAATGTTTTTTACTGAAAAAAGTGAGAATAGGCACAGTTTCAATCCTAAAAGCAAACCCTTATTAATATATACATTTAGATATAATTAGATATATAATCTCATTGAATAATCTCAGTCATAAAAGAGAATGTTGTTCTCCTTAGAGAATATGGATTCGAGCAACTGTGTTTGTAGTGTGCGTGCGCATTATCGATCGGCTAAAAAAATTTGATCTTATATTTTCTTGTAATCACCTATACTATTAAAAAAAGATATATAACTGATATAATTTTTCAAATTAAATTTATTTTAAATTATTTATGTTAACATATTAATGTATAATTCATTTTATAATACACAAAATTATATATAGCCAATATGTTAAATATTATTTTTATTAGCCAATATGTTAAATATTTCTTTTATTTTTAAGGAAACATTTATTTATTATTATCATTATTTTAAATTGCAATTTAGTTTGTTGGTTGTTAAGTGAGACAAAAGTGAGTTACATAGTCAACCGTTCAGCTTTCCGAAGCAAATTTGTTGTTGCTTATTGTAACCCCCAGACCGATACAGGTAATCCGATCCGATCCGGAAAGTCACGTTAGGGCCACCGGAGCGACCCACTGTAATTATAGCGGAAAATTTAAAACTTTTTATCAGAACATGTAAACTTATAAAATCAGTTTTCACTATTTAAAAATAAAACAGATTTTCAAACTTGTATATAAATCAAAATACAATTACATGCCCCCTAATCACATGTACCATACTCTGCAACAACGTCGGACGAACTCCCTTACTGAAGTCGATAGATGCACTGGTACAATTCTTTTAACCTGAAAAGGTGAGTAATAGAGTGAGCTTTGGAAAGCTCAGTAATACAGATCTACCAGATGATGCTGATGAACGTGCATATGCAGATAAATATATATTTCCTTATTGTTTCCGAACATTTACAGATTTTTATGCTGAGCAAAGATCCTACTGATATTTCAGGTGGTAACGGACAATGAGCTTTCAGTTCAGAGAATTATTTCGGATGACTGAGTTCAGGAGATCAGAATAGGTTTTCTAGTGTGTTCCCAAAAACCATGTAACTTTTCAGATCTTTTTAAAACATATATATATATACACCCTCATCCTTTCACAATCTGTTTGTGTAGGTTCCCCGGAACCATACACCCCGCACAACCAGTAACAGTAAGGCCCTGAGCACACAGCCGAGGAGCCTGCAGTAATCTTCCTCCAACAATAAACCCCCCAGATAAAACATTTCTCTGTCGGTAAACGGAGATATCAGAAATCAAAACAGAATTCATATAAGATATCATAACAGAATCCAGATCAGAATCAGAACAGAATTCAGGTAACGTATCAGAACAGAATTCAATTCGGAAATCAGATAAAATATTTATATAATTAGGGAACACACCAGAGTTTACAGGTATTATTTAGAGGTACTGTATCAGGCACAGAAACACAGTTATTCAGTATGCCGATAGAATATCGGAATTCAGAATCACTATTGGAAGAGTTCAATAACTGACAAAATCATCAATTATTCAGAATATGACTTGAGCTGTAAGGAAGAAATGAAGATTCAGGACATTTACAATCTATGTCGATTGATCGGATTATCAAACAACTCTTAAATGAATAACTCCCAAAATTAATGCTTGTCGATTGATCAATTCATTGTTCTTCCAGGGTATTTACTCTTTAATACCACAAACTCCTGTCCATAGATCATTTTCGGAATCATCACTGAATAGATCTTCCAATGTCTTTATTTTATTTTTATGCTTCCAATATATCATGAAATACTGACGTGCTTGATTTGTAGTTCATGATCTAGAAGAACAGTACATTGTGTATGTTCATAACGTTTCCAGACTCATTCACATCACTTACTTAATCCTTAGTGCTTGAGGTTGCTTAGTTCATTTAGCATTCAAGTCTATTCCAGTTACTTCGGGATTTTCCAGAGTAATTCCGTACGTTTCTGAATTTCAGATACATATTGTACTTCCGTTCAGTTCAGTTTGGTCTTCGTGGTTGATTTTTGCCGAACAAATATCCAATTCTTAGTACCAAATGCAATCTAGAGTTGAGCTGAGCTGAATACTTCCAAAATTATCATTGACCTAAACTTGAGTAGACGAACATGCATTCAAGTAATATTTATGTCGTTCAGGTACTGACATATTATTAAGGTTGATCGGCTCACTTAAGTTATGTTCCATAACTTTTAAAGGTAGTCCAATACCTATGCTTATTTGGATTCCTTAATTAATCCAAGGTATTTACTTAGTTTAGGCCATAAGGTTATTTTGGTAATTTTGGTATTCAGTTTTATTTCATTTATTTCAGAGCTCGAGGATATCCAATCATTCCTGAGCTTGGTGATATTCTTGGGTCATTTCCATTATAGGGGTATTTTGGTCATTTTACAGATCTACGGTATTTCAATATTTTCCTGCCATCCGGTCTTATTATTTAATTCAATCTTATCATTTACTTCAGTCCTTTTGAACAATTCTGACAGCAGAATACCCCCGATAAATTATTCTTCAAGTATTTACTCATTATTCGAATATTTACGGGTCAAGTGTCTTTTCAGATTTTACAAACGGAATATCAGGAATTTTCCTTCACTAAGTCAGGATCTTAACAATTAAATCCGTACTTAATCGAGTTAAGTAAGAATCCCCAAAGTATTTTCTCATTCAGAGTCAACTCAGACTATTCTACCTCTTAAGGGCATTTCCGTAATTTCTTAACCAGATAATTTCGATATTAGCTCTTAACGAAAATAATATAATTTAGAGATCCTATGATTAATTGCTTTCTTGAATACTCTCTCTAATCTTGAAACGGTTCTCTTAACAAACTTCTAGTATTCTTCACAAACTCTCATAGGATTAAAAACCGGTTATCCATAATTTTCAAATAAAACTAACATTTCTTATGCACATCAATATTTTATCAGATCAATATATCTGTAAAATCCTTTTATCTAACTTCCATATTCAAATCTTGTCTTTTTATAACATAAGGGTATTTTCGTAATTTTACCCTACCAGAGTATTCTCATAATTTCTCATCCAAGTACCTTTAATATTTAACCTTTGATGAAAAAAACTATAAGTTATAGATACATGGCTGATTTCTTTATCACTAATCACAAACTTGTAATTTAATCTAATAATTCCTCGATCTCTTATATTAGTCATTCGATCCGTAATCAGTTACAGAATTTCTACCACATCATATCAAGTGTATAAATTATTCAACTCCACCAAAGTGACCAACATTATCTTGTTCATGCATTTATCAATATAAACATGTTCCATAAAGCATAAAGAGGTAGTAAAGTATTACCTCGATTTCTGTGTAATACTGATTGACCATAAAAATTCCATTCGAACATCTTTGATCTTCAATTCAACTTCCAATGTTTCCTCGGATCCATATAAACAGAAATTACATCAAAAACGGAGCTTAATTCTGAAAAACGGATCGAATCGGATGATAAATCAGTCAAAAATAGCTTACCGGGTTCAAATTTGGCAAAACCGACTTCGGATTCGGATTCAGAACGTCGAAAGCATAAAATATGGCTTTTCAAATATTTGGAATCTTTGGTCAAAATCAAAGTCAACGGGTTTGACCGGCAATTTCGAGGCCTTCGGGTTTGAATTTCGAGAAACAAACTGCGGAATCGGATTTGGAACGTCGAAAAATGTCAGGATAGGTATACTCGGTCAAAGTCAAAGGTCGTTTAATGCCCGGTCAAAGCCAGTCAAAGTTTTGGTCAACACTGGTCAACGGTCAACGGTCAACGGTCAACGGGTCGGGTCAACAGGTCGGGTCGGGTCAACGGGTCGGGTCGGGTCAGTTTGTGACCGGTCAAATGGGTTACAAAACCGGTCAAACCGGTCATTTTTCCTTTCCCACGCGCAGTGGTGGCGCATGGGGCACGTGAACAGTTCCCTGATATTGGAAATCTCCCGGAAAAATTCCTAAAAATTATTTTAAGTGATTTCGAGATACTTACAAAGCTCGGTTCAAATTTTTGAACGGCGAAGAGCTCGATTTCAATGAATCGGAAACTTTGACCGCTTCACCTCCTCACGCGCCGTCGCCGCCGGAAAAAGGGAGGACACCGGTGGACTCGGAACGGCTCAAGGAACACGATGGTGCAGGAGCTGTCGTAAACAGATGACCCGATCGTCGTGAATCGATGAAAAACCAACTAAAACCAAGTTATTACCGACGATACTTCCGACTGAAATTCACGACGACGGTGATGATTCACGACGAAAGGTTTGAGGGGTTTTGTTCCTCGGTTGACAACGAACACGATGGTGGTTTCGGCTCGTCGATCGGAGGTCGGACGACGAGTAGATCGGAATTGGAAGTTGGGTTGAGGGAGAGGGAAAACTGGAAAAATTTCTAGAAAACATACGGGGATTGGGGTTTATACATCTCATGTTTAAAAATGGTTAAACCAAGAGTTTAGCCACTGAACTTCCTACACTTCATAAAACGGTCTGCCAACTTTAAAATTTTACAATTTAACCCACTGTTTCTTTCAAAATACCAATTAAATCCACCACTTTATAATTTCTTAATTTTAGCCCCTAAATTGGGATGTTACACTTATTAACTATGTTTTTGTAATAATTACTAAATAGATAAGCACGTGAAAATTAATTGAAGTATAACAATCCAAAGGAACTTTTAGAGAAGTACACATAAATGAATCTATCAAGTGGTCTTAGTTATTAAAGAGAGTTGTTCTTCCTAAAAGTTCTAGATTCAAGCAGTTACGTCTACGAATACACAAATGAATCTATCAAGTGGTCTTAATGATTAAA